GTGTCTTAAAAGAGCTAATCAAGTTATTGTATTATGGACATTTAGGCCAACAGGAGTGTAGTTTTGTTCAATTGTGATTGGTATGACACGAACCAACGAATACGTGTGAATGTTAAACATAGAATTATTAATCTCAATCCAAGGTTTAAACTTTCAACGGGAGAACCATTTTGCCTTGATAATCAAGCACAACAGGTTTATTATACTCCATATCCAACGAGAAATATATATGTATTAATATTTCTTGTCTTATATATATTGTTTTATCAAATTATGTATTTTTCATTTAAAATAGTATCATTGTATGATTGTTCTAAATTTATTATTCATTATTTATATACATGTATTAATAACTATTTTGTTATTCCTTTTTCATGATGTTTGGAAATCTTGTAGGTTTGGCTAGAAGGAGATTCAAGATCCTAGGGGCGACATCATTGTGATCAGTCGCAAATGTTTACTGGTAGTGGCATATCTCTTGATACAAAGCAAATGATTGATCCATTAGTGGAAGATATGGATCATTTTAAATCTGATCATCATGGTGAGGACCCTTCATCCTCAAAGGGGAAAAAAGGATGGGGCAAGAATTTGAAAGGTCTACACCTTCTAAAGAATAAAGAGGGTAAGAAATGGGTTATGCTTATTATTGATAAGTTCCAGTTTGTTGATCCATCCATTCCTCAGGCTATCACTGCCTTATGGAAGTCATGTTTTGATGGCCCATATTTCACGTTTGAGCGTCTCCCTTATAGCAAGATTAGCAAAATTTACAATTGTTTCAAGGTAATATTTAATTTTAGCAAATTTAATAAAATGAATGGATTTAGCAATTTCCAATAAAAATAAATAATTTAATTACTAAAGTAGAAATGGGTTATGCTTATTATTGATAAGTTCCAATTTGTTAATCCATCCATTCCTCAGGCTATCACTGCCTTATGGAAGTCATGTTTTGATGGCCCATATTTCACGTTTGAGCATCTCCCTTATAGCAAGATTAGCAAAATTTACAATTGTTTCAAGGTAAGATTTAATTTTAGCAAATTTAATAAAATGAATGGATTTAGCAATTTCCAATAAAAATAAATAATTTAATTACTAAAGTAGAATTTAATTTCTCACACATCTAATGTTATTTATTTCTTATTTTGTAGACAATTTACTAGTGGGATCCTATAGATAATCTCCATGTATGAGATGCATTCTTAAATTGTATGAAACATAAAAGGAGTGACAATCTTAGGGATGAGAGGTTGAGGTGGGAGAAGGACCCAACTTATGTCCCATGTTGGATCCCAACTCATATATGGTCTTAGCTGTTGACATATTAGGACTCTGATGAATATAAAATGTTTAATGAAAGGGGAGCAAAGAATTGAAGTTCTAGGGAGAGGGTGACCCACACCACTAGATCCATTAGCTTTGGCATCCACAAGATGTGGATGGGAATCAAGCATAATTAATAAAAAATTAAATATATTAAATTTTATTAAACAATAAATTGTGTCAATGTATACTAACCAATATATTGTATTATAAATATTTTGAAATATAGTTTGAAGCTAGAGGTGGTGTGCAACCTCCCTATCAAGAAAAGTTCAAGGAGACACACACCTTCAGAAAGAAGGTGGCAAAGGATCAAGAATTGGTGTGGATCAATGAAAAAGCACAATATCAATATGTAAGTATATGTAATATATAAATTATCATAAAATTTATAGTTATAAGTGTTGGAAAAATTTATTTAATTAATCTAAATTATTTAGCAAAGTCAACTTTTTTTTTAATAGATTCTTTTTAAATTGCTTTTAACATCAACATCATTATTATTTTTATTTCATTTTTAGGATATTTATGTCATCGAGAATGTGGAGACCTATGACTCTAGTGTTAGTTCATGGCCACGCATGGATCACAAGGCATGGGTTAAAGCTGTTGGAGGTTGCTCGCCCAATTTCATATGCCATGGATTGGCTCCCAGGTAAATCCAAAGAATGTTGGATTTACTTACAAGAAGAGACAACCTCGAGACAATTGATGACAGCAATGATGATTTCTAACTTTGTTGGGGAGCAAGCATGCCATAATGCGCTTGTGGCAAAACAAAATGAAGAGTTAGAAAGGCAATGCCAACAAATGGCTCTGATGCAATAGTAGTTGCCCCAAATGACACAAGCCTAGAATAATATGAGCCAGATAATTGCAAAATCTGTTGTGACAAATCTAGCCATTTATGGCATCTCCCCCCAAGCAAGTCATCATCCAATTGCCCCACCATAGCTACCACATAGTCGAGCTCAAGTCTTTGTGTGAATGCAGCTTTCACCTACTCCATTGATTTTACACAGACCTCTCCTATACTCCCTGAATATCAACAGCAACAACGTCTACCTCAAGATGATGTATACCATCCTGTTTTTTATCCAGACTATCAGGCTCATTTGTTTTGTTTTCTACTACGTACACCATCTGTACACTTTACATGGTTGGCTTTATTTCTATTAATACTTTAAACTGCTAGTTTTAGCTTTTCATTGCAATATCTTTTCCTATTTTGCTTGACCTCCAATAATCATACTTCAAAAGGTATGAAGTTTTCTACTGTTTTGGGGGGTTAATTATTATAAATTGAATATCGTAGGCATTTAAGACAATGGTGTGTGATTTCTATACTTTGTGGTTGTGGTTGAAAAGGTGTAATTGCTTTTAGTGTGGTAAAGTTGTAGAATATGTGTCTTTCATTACAAATGCAAGTTCAAAAATATTGGTTTTGATCATATGTATGAGAAAACTTTGCCAAATTTTTTTTAGAATTTCTACCAACTAAAATGACCAAAATGCAGAAAATCTATTGAATAAATTTGAAATTAAATATCATAGGCATCATGGAGGTTGATGGTTTGTGGTTGATACTTTGCAATTATAGTTGGAGAGATATAATTGCATTTTTTATAACAAAGTTGTAGAATTGCAAATGTAGGTTTAAAAAAATTAGCTTTTATCATACATATGAGAAAACTCTGTTAAATTTTTTTTTTTAATTTATGTCCACTGAATGACATGAAAAAGGGCAACATTTGGAAAGAAAGTTGTAGAGTCTGGGTTTATTTTACTACTGATGCGTAGTAAGTAGGAGTTAAATTTGCCAATAGGAGGCACGTCGGTATTGTTGAAAATGCCAAAAAGCCGACTTTTCACTTGCCAACATACATCTTGTCGACAATGACCTACCTTTTTAGTTCCCAACATGATTTTAATCAGTAATTTTGGTCCGATTTTTCCTCTTTAGTTTGCGAACATGAAACTAGTTAGTAATCCTTAAACTCCTGTTGGTAAAAAATGGTAGGATTGCAAAATTTTTGTATTTTTTCTTCTCCTGGTTAATCTTAATTACCTATGTGGATTTTGTCAGAAAAAATAATTTCGATGAAAAACACATAGGTAAAATATTCTATATATTATCACGACTCTGTGACCTCCTCATTTCTTCTTTCCTTCCTTCTTCTTCTTTTTTCTTCTCCTTCTTTATCTATCTCTCCTCATTCTCTTCCATTCAAATGTTGTTAGATTTTACTATGTTTATAATTACATTATATTCATATTATTTTAGGTTTATATCTTCTCAATCTCCTCTCTTTTTCTCTTCCATTCTTTGTCCCTTCTAATTTTGTTTTCTAGAAAACATTGTTGGGAGATAATCATTGGGTAAGTAAATTTTATTTATGTAAACTAAAATTTAATTTCAATTATATTTTGATTATTATTATTTGGTTGAAATTATATATAAATACTAAATTAATTTATATTTCTTTATTTTTTTAGGAAATGGTGCTCTATAAATATTCACTATATAATTAAGGTAATCTTTAATTTTTTAGATTATGTTATTAAGTTATATTTTAAATTTGTCATATTATTCGTATTTTTTAAATTCTGTTTTAATCATTAATTTGAACAAATAAATTCAATAATTTTCTATTTGTACTGTAAAATTTTAATATTATATTTATTTTTTATAATATTAAACATTATGAATTAAGTAATATTTAACTATAAATTAATTGAATTGAATAAAAAATATATATTAATTTCAATATTAATTCAAGAAATTGTGTTTTTCTTTTTAATAGATTCTTGCACCAATGTTACCTTCGTCCATAACTTGAAGCTTAAACTATGATTTTTTTTTTTTTTTAAGAAGATTCCTGCACCATCGTAACCTTCATTGGTAACTTGAAGTAAAAAAAAAAAATCCTATGCTAACTTGCTGATTCAAATTTAGTCAATAAGTACCATCACTTTCAGACACTTTTCTCCTCGGTAAATTACCGACATGGCTTACTTTCAAATATATCCAGCAACACTATTTAGGTAACTATTTGGAGACGTAGTTTTCGTCGGTAGTGTTGCCCAATTTACTGACTTGGCTTACTCGAAAAGAGCTCCGATGGTACTGTTCAGTCACTATGTTGGAGACAAGTTTCTTGTTGGTAATTTGCAGTCATCTTACCGACGTAACTTTCATCCACGTTGGTAAACAAATTACCAAGGTGACTTACATCGAGAAATCAATTACGGACATGATTCAGATGGCAAAAGGTTTTACCGACGTGATTTCCTTTCTTTCCGACGTGTTTTCTCGTCAGTGAATCCATGTATTCTAGTAGTGAGAAAACCTGATAATAACATAGCACTTCTCTGACAAATGAAGCCTTTATCAAACATATTTCAACTTCGTTTACTAAGAATGAAAACATGGACTCAGTACTCAGCATATGCAGCCATTCATTAAATTCTCTGGACAGTAGCCACATGCAACAGTAATTAGTTCAATTCTAAAGCTCAAAACTAGGGAAGGAAAATCGTTAGTCTCTGAAAGATCAGAAAATCTACATTGCCATATGTAATTGCACCAAACCAGAAGTCCTTCTCCAGTCCGCGCTTGTGCTCCGAGATAACCTACAAAGCCCCGAGGTGGAACTCAGGGTAGACACTTCGATGCTTAAGTCAGCAATAATCGGAGCTACCTTTAAGGAGGAGATAAGAAAAGCTTAGGGTTGGTTTCAATTACCTTTTTGATGTGGCCCGGGGGGGTATTTATAGGATCCAATGAGGAACCCACGTGGCATGCCAAGCAAGATAATCGGAGCCTGACGTGTCTATCCAAACGATTATTCCGGGACTGGGAATTTGAGAGGTATCCAGGTGCACGAGCGTCCACCATACTTGCTGTGCCACTCATCGTAAGGAATCAGGTACGGGCATGCTTATTGCCATTGTTGTGCAGCTATTTGAGCGGGAAGCTTTGAATTTATTCCTCACTTCGGTCATAGAGGAATTACTGTAGTGGTCCGAGGCTTGGCACCTCGGACCTATCCTTACACTATTCCCCCCCCCGAAGTCATTCACTTGTGAATGATGTTATTGGGGATGTTGAGGGGAGTGCAAGTAAAAGGAGGAAATAAAGTCTGTAACTTGAATGTAAACATAGCCGTAGCTAATAATTGAATATGTAGCAGTGGGTTACACTGGGAGTGTCTTTAATGAAATATGACCGGAGTGATCATGGTTGTGGTTGTGTAAAAATAATTACCAGAGTTAATCGTGGCTGTAGCCATAATAAAATATGATGACCGGAG